TTAAAATCAGTGTTTTTAAGGAGAACACCTTGTTCTATCACAAGTGTCAATATTTAATAAGTGAAAATTATGCAGAATTAAGGCTAAACACATCAGGTAAACTATAGATGTTTCTTATTGGTTTAATAATAAACACTGGAAAAGCTTCTTGCATTTCAAAGCCCACAAAGGAGGTTTAGCATTTCATTTCTTATTTTAAATACCCAGACTAGAACATCTTTCTTCCAAGCTTTAAATTCAACTACTTTTCCTTTAGTGATTCTTATACAGAACAAATGCCATGCTGAAAACATATACAGAATTTTAGCACCAAAGGATGATGACCCTTCTGAACAGCCTTAAAGTTGTATTGTGCTTCTCTCAAGCAATTTAAAGGTCAATTTTATGTATCAAATCAAAGATGACTAGTTTATAATGACAAATTTAGGGATTTTTCTTTTTTTTTCCATTTTAAGTGGAGGGAAATTTTACCTTCAATGTAAATGTAACTGCCTCTTTCTACCCCAACTGGCCTCTCTGACCTCTGACTTAGTATTGATGATTTTGTAACCTTAAATCTTTTTCTAAGGTTACTAGAAGTTGTAAGAAATTAAGCCAAGAATTATCCAAAAGATTCAACAGCATTAAACAATGCCCTAAATCTGACAGCACAGTAAATCTGATTAGATTTTTAAGAGTTAATCCTCTTCTGCATCACCTGAAAGAACTTTAGAAACAATGACCCCCCACCGCCTTTACTGAGTAGCTGTAACTGTTTAGCACACCGATTCCAACAGTAGATTACAGTGCAGCACCGTGGTATAATTTCAGGGCAAAGTAAAATGACCCAGTCGTGGTATGTGTCTTTACTTCTTATAAACACTCAGTTTGTAAGAAGCTGGGTCTCTTGCAAAAAAGCAAGGGTAAATTAAACTTTTGGACTCCATCTTGGTTTTTCCATAAAGCACAATGTAACCGGAAAGACATGTTTTTCAGTGAAATGTGACCATCTGTATTTCTGAGTTCCAACTAGCAGCTCTAGAACAGATCTCACAAAGGGTGAGACCTGGGAGGGAAGTGCAGGCTTGTTCTCCAGATGGCATAAGCATCAGTTCACACACAGGTGCTTCCAGCCTGTGTTCACACAGTCGACTGCCCTGGGGGTACCAGGTGCAAATTTACCAGGCAAACAGCAGGTGAGTGTGCACACAAGGACCACTCAGTCGCAGAAACAGCTCCATGCTGCCTGCGTATCTGTCATGGAGATCTTGAAATATTTACACACATGTAAAATCTGTGCGGTGTGTCAGATACTTCCATATTTACTTAGACCATATTTCTTTCATTTTTTTAAAAAATAAATGATCAGTTTAAAAAATAAAGTAAAACTGACACACAGTACATTGGGTGCTAGCAGCAGTGCACATTCCCAGACCTGACCTTGACCTTCCCTTAGAAACAAAGTTCGCCTGAAGTTTACTCACAACGCTGGGATCTCCCCCCCTCACTAATAAGCTTAATGCACTCTCCACATTATTCCATTTACATAGTAGCTGTATCTGTCCAGATAGTTTATTTAAATCATTAACAACTTCTTCTGACCTTGGAAGAAAAAAAAAATCCTGAAAAAAATTCTGAAGTAGAGAGCTTTCCTGGGGGAGCGGGACGCGAAGGAAAGCAGTAATATGTTCTTTGGCACCTCTTTAACAAGCTCATTAGTAAAATCCCAGGTTGAGGGCTTGTCACCAATGAATGAAGAGCCACAGGAGAATATAACTTTCTCAGGATGAATAAAAAACCAGTCAAAGGGTAATATTTTGTTCATCTTTCTAATCATTTACACAAATTTGGTCCATTTCTTCATTTACCAGTCAGTTCTCCTAAAATAAAAAATCAAAACTATACCTTTGGTTACAGCAATACCTCTTTTGGTAAAAGAGCTGATACCTTTCTTTTGCTCCTCAGGTAGATTTCTCGTTATCTTCACCTGTCTTCTGAACCCGTGAATACTTTTTGCATGATGATTTAAAGCAGCCAGGAGGCCAGGAGAGTGGCCAGGAGAAGCAGCAAGGAATTGAGCCTTGTACGTTTTTCTCAAAAAAATAAAAGATGGGGAACCACCATGCTCGAGACAAAAAATTAGTCTGTGAAGAGATCTTCAAGTTCTGTAAAAGGTAGGGAAAAAGTAAAATGAGACATATTTTTCATGACTGGCATACTAATTGTTTTTCTTAACCTGTCATTCACTGTAACTTAACAGGGAAAGCAGCAGAATCCAGATCACATGTCGGTAATTGTCACTGCGCCTTTTCCCTAACTCTGAAGTCGCTCTGGCTCTGGTCCCACCCCATCCCATTCCACTCCGTTTCCCCTCTTTGTGGCTCATGCAAATCTTCTGCCTGCAATTCCAGAGAGAATGGAGGCTCAGGAATGGGGGGTGGATGTGAGTTATCCAGGAAGAACACCTTTTGGGATTTGTGAGGCGTCAGGTCTATGGGTCAAGGAAGATGGAAGAGTAAAAAGAGGGCTCACAAGGTTGAGCCTATTGAAGAGGAAAGATGGAAATTCTGGTTCAGTGGTGTCAGCAGACGTCTAGATGCAAGTGTACGAAGGAGATGGAAATAGGAGATTACACGGAAGGAAAAGGAGCTTAACGACAAATAGATGCCTAGAAAGGACAATTGTTAGTGGACACGACTAAATGAAAATTGGATGTGGATCCTCTGGGGAAAGACACATTTTGATCGCTCACAATGTCTCCAAACATTACATGCATCAGACGATGTGGCAAGACTATACCACGATAAGTACGTCACGGCACACAGACTAACTCTATTACACCCAGGACACACACCAAGGCTAGGGAGGCACACAGGAGCGGGGGAATAATTCTACCTTGGGGCTACAGGCACAGAGCAGGAGTCTGGGAAGGCTTCCCAGAAGAGGTGGCATTTTAGCTAGCTCTTTCAGAATGAATGCAAGAAGGGAAAATGTTCATCTGACAGGAGGCAGCAGAAATACAGAAGAATGAAAAGGGAAGTCAGAGAGCCCAGCCTCACCAAAAGGTATACTAAATCCGGTTATTCAAAAGTTACTTATTTTGCCTGACTTTCAAAAGTAGTTGCCATCTTGTCTTCAAAATTAAACTTTTTGAAAGCAGGGAGTGTCTTACCTAGTTGCGCCGCAATGCTTCTACATTCCTAAATTTTTAATTTAGCATATATATACTACTTTAATTCTCATATAAGTTAGTTGAATTAGTAAAAGACCATGCTCTATAATCACAAAGCATTTTTATCCTTAAATGGCATTTCTATTTGTGACGTTCTTTCTTTTAAGAAGCAATAATGGCTATAATCTTACATGAACGGACCTGACCTAACCACAGTTTGGGAGCGGCAACAGCAGTGATTTCCATCGGCTACCTAAAACCCCACTGTCTGCACAGGGGTCCACTGCATTTAAAGAAAAGAGATTATCTGAAGATAATTTCACTGCTCTCACCTTTTCATTGGCCATTGAATGGTACCACCAAAACAGCCGTGTTGTGATAAAATAGGCAACGACCACATCGACAGTATAGTGTTCGTGTGCTACAAGGATGCAGATGATCCCGGCGGCACTCAGCAGCCAGCAGATCAAATGATACCACCAGAAGTGACGAGGCGAATCTGGGCAGTAGAGAAATTGAGGCATTAGTAAGATTGCCAGAGAGGAACTGAACAATTACAGTCTATCCTCATGACCCGCAGTAGAATAATCTAAGGTCAAGAAGCCACTGGAAGGAGACAACTAATAGCCCAAGATGACAGTCACGGTGAACAGCCCAGGATTTCTCAGGCGGGAAGGAAGAAGGGCCAGTATCACTGGGAGCAGCTCTAGTACTCATTCTCTGGGGAGGCTGGTTACACTGGGTACGCTAGACCTTGCCACTGCTACTGTTTAACAGGGAGGAGAACAGAATTGTTTCTTCTAAGGTTCGTTAGACTTGGCTCATACTGGCTTACGTAATGGACCCTACTGGAAAAGAAAACAGTAAGGATCAAAAGAAAAAAAGGTAGCTGTCAATGAAAATGGGAGTGGGGGGGTGGTGAAGGGGATAAGAGAACAGACGTAATTTCAGGTCTTATAGAAACTTACTTACATTATGGCTAGTCATAGTTTGACTCTCAGCAATTTTATCCTGCTACTGCTAACAGCAACAATAAATACTCCCTATGTGAAGCTTAGGATTCTTGCCCATTCACTTAGGGATTTCAGCCTTCCTCGGGAGGGCACTGAGAACTTCATCGCATAGGCGAGAACTAGAGCACTCATGAGGTTAAATGTGATCATACACCCCGAAGCCTTCCCACACGTGTGTCAATGACAGATATAAATGAACCAGCGTTTATCTCTATTAACTTCTCCTTTTTCTTTAATAACTGTTTCTTTTTTTCTATTTTAAAGCTTTATTAGCTCACAAAGTTAATAATCAATGAACTGAAATTTATTTCATATTTAATTGTGTCTATATTTATAGTGATATTTACTTTCCAGTGTGGAAGAATGGTTGAAGAGCAGAAGGATCCCTTTCCAGAAATTTAGGTGAAATACCAAACCAGGTATCATTCAAATAAAACATATTTTTTGGTAAAACAGCTGGTGTTCTTTTGGTCTCAAGTGGAATAGTATGATAATAAACCTGTATTTGCATTTGAAAGTCTGACCTTCTAATTTTGAATGTGCAACTCATCATTTCTCATTTGGTTCATCCTGCCACGACGTTCTGGCAGAGAACTCTTATAATCCTAGAATTTTAAGCTGGGAGAGGCCTTCTTCCTGTAGCCTGTGAGGCGGGGGCAGTCCCCATAACTGCTCTGGGTAGTTCAACTTTTAACATTCTGAGCCTAACATTTAGAAATCTGGAAATTTCGCTAAACGTGCGTTATCCAGCACCACAGACCTCACCCCTCCCTAAGGTCTCACATCAACCCTGCTTCCCCTGCTTATAGGTCATCTGGAATTTATTTACCTTAAAAGTTCAGGATGTCTGACTAAACCAGAATTCTTTTGTATTTGTTTATCCACAAGAAGCAAAGCCAAAGTGGTTAAGGAGTAAGGAGGTGGAGGTGGCCTGACGGTCATTTTATTTCCCATGGAACTGAAAATGAAGCTTTTTTTTAAAAAATGAAGTTTTAGGATAGCTGGGAACACTGGCACTGTTCTCCCATAAAAATGCATTCTCTAGTATGCTACCACGCTGGGACCACTGCTCATTAACTGAGAACACTGGCTGACCCAAAGAAAAGATTTAAAAATTATTTTAGAGTAGAAATGGCAAAATGGTCATCCTCTCTGGTCTCTCATTTTACCCAGAGGGATAGCATCAAACTAAAAGTTGATAACATAAATCTGAACAACTCCAATGTCTGTGTGGGATTCTAGCCCTAGTTGTCATCGAATAGTAGAGACGAAGGGCTTTATGTAGTAGCAAGGTAAAAAAAAAAAAAAGTTATCTTGACTAGCAAGACACATGGTACTAACAGGTAGGCTGATTTCTCCCCGCTAATTTTACATGAAACCTAGGGCCCAAAGATAACATGTGTACAACTATGTGAAGCCCTCTCTAGTTAAATCTCAAAATGGCCTGGGGCCCACATTTTCATCTCCTTTCACGATCAAATGCAAATGCACTCATAACAACGGGGCAAACAAGGAGAGAGTCCAAACTGATCAAAAGGCAGGAAAGCAAAAAACATGTAAATGACACATCTAATTCTAGAAGCCGACTGTTCAAAGAAACCACTGGAACCACTGCTTACTCAGAACAATAACATCATGTAATTTAGAAAGTGATTGTTTTTCCTAATTGCATAGGCAACGGGCATAAACATGGAATGCCCTGTCTACGTAGAGAACCGACTATAAAGCTGAGTTGTATTAAGCTTACACATTTGCCATTTTGCTTCTCACCGACTATTGGAAAAAGCAGAATGTAATTCTTTCCTTGCTTTCTGTAAACTTACACAATTTTAAAAAAACCTTAAGCCAAAGTCATATCTTGGGAAGAAAATGTCCCTACATAGTGCATAGCCTTCATTAAGGTATAAAAATGATCACAAGTTGCCTTGCTCTTGTTCTGAGGTAAAAGAACAATAATGAGCAATATATCCCGATCATTCCTTAGTAATTCTGTAAAATCAGACAACTTAGGCTTCCAAAAATTCTAAATAGAGCCAAGAAATTAACAATATAACCTCTAGAGTCAACCTGCTTGAGTGTGAATAAGCCATCCTCCAGTTACTAACTGTGGACTATGGTTACATCACTCTCTTTCTTTATGCTTAAGTTTCCTCCCTCAAAAATGAGGAAAAACAGTGATTCCCTCCTGGGGTGGCTGCAAGATTGAGTTAATCTACATCAAGATCTTAGAAGAGTGCCTGGCACAGAAGAAGTGTTATGTCTGTTTGTTATTATTGTTAATATCACGTGGTCTTCGGTTATTTTATAAAACTCACTCTCAGTTTCCTTGAGTGTTGTCTCTTCACTACTTTATGGTTTTCAACCCAGAGTAGCTTCATTCTTCGCATTTAACTTCTCCCCTCCCTCATCCTCATCTTCTACAAGCTTTTCATATTTCTCAGATTAGAGAAGGTCCTCTACCTCAAATGCACCTCTGGACTTGAAAATGGTTGGTCTTACATGCAGATGGAACTTCTCTTGACAAAAGCTAGAGTTAGAACCATATATAATGCAAATCACTCCACCTGCTCCCCAGAACCAATAACTAGGTGTTAGAAATGTAGAAAGTGAAATGTAAGGAAGAGACTATCTCCTGATATCGGTGCAGAGATAGACCTGGATTCCTCACACATTACCTCCCAGAAGGCATAAGAGTAGAAATAAGGGGAAGCGTTCAGAAGGCCCTCCACCTTCAAGTCAGGTAGGACACAAAGGCCACACACACAACATGCTATTCTCTCTACTCTAAGGTCATATGTAGCATTTACAAAGGAAACAATTCAGAAGCTTCATAATTCTCACCAAAAGAAAAAAGACTTTACTGCATCTACTACGGAGAATCTCAACTCTTTGTCATATTATCCTCAAAGCAGAACATAAACCGAAAACCCAAGGCAATTTATGGGGCAAGAATTCACGCCTGGACCACTGGAAGACAAACCTTAATGTCCGTACTGTCACTACATGAGGCCACGCCTGTTTGGATTAATAACAGGCCAAGACAGGAGCGAAGAGGAAGGGGGACAGAGGGTGTAGGCCACCTTCTGCTGGGCCCTTCAAAAGACCTCCTCTACACTATGATAAGTGGAGAGAATTGAGATGAACTGGCATGGGGCATCTTGGAACTAAACATGAAAGTTATCACTGACCAGCTTTGCAAAAACGGAAGTGAAACATCACTATTTCAAAAGAATTTTGAGATAATAGGCCTAACTATATAAAACCTTAGAAATCTACAGGAATGAGATCGATCTGCTAGACAGCTAAAAGCAAATACAGCCCACAATGTACAAGATATTGCAGCATTAAAGTTGCTGAAACACAAGGATTTTTTATAATGGGAATGAAGTGTATAAATAAGGAAAGATACTTCACACTCTTGTCTCCATGTTGCCTCTTATAAAGAAAATGATCAGTATTGGCAAAATGTTCCATGAAGTACTGAACCATATTGAACCATAGAAGTCATCTGGAAATGATGAAATTAGAATAAAATGGGACAAGGAAATGTTTTAAAAAGGAAAAGTGAAAAACATTAAATTATTTGGAATGATGGAATGGAAGTTTCATTCAATGAAAGTTTCACTCAAAAGTCATTTACATCTGGCTTTAGAGTGCACTGATTCTTTCTAAAATAAACATAACAATTGTTCTTCTTAGTTCCAACATTAAAATAGCTTTTCATACCTTGAGAGGTACTAATCAAGAAGGGAGACATTTTGGAGGCATGCTAAATGTTAGAGAAGCCAGCACCATGTTTTAAGCCTTCAGTGTTTAAATCACGTATGACTAGCTGAAGTGATTTCTCTCTCTCTTTCTCTTTCTCTCTCTCTCTCTCTCTCTCTCTCACACACACACACACACACACGTCTTTCATAGCTATCAATACCAATAGAATAATGGCTCCCATCAGTTTTGGGGCCTAGGGATCCCTCCCACTACAATAATCAATCGATGAAGTGGGAATGAATTCTTACTTACACTCTTTGATGAACAGATAAGTAAGTGTCAGCACAACCGTGTGACCGCTGAAGAGAAAGTCTCCACATAAGATATGCGATCCAGTAATGGACAACCCACCTCCAGAGATTAAGCGCAGAATCCGCTGCACTTTCGCCTGAGAGTCTCCATTGAGCTGAATGACAAGAAGATCAGACACAACATTTACACACTGACAAAATCACGTTTCAGCCTAATTTGGGAGATACTTAGAAAAGTTACCAGGGTGTGATTTTTTTTTTCTTTTTAATTAAAAAAGTCAAAAATAAAATCCCAGGGGGAAGCTCTTCAAACTGGGTTTCAATCATTATATTGACCACTTTTAGTGACACATTTTAAATTATTCAATATGTTACTAATAATATGCTTTGGTGATGCTGTGTCCTTGGGAAAGCTTTTAAAAATATTAATAACCAATGACTTCACCACAGCTATGTGCTAAAAAAGAAAATCAAAGCTACTTTCTTTCCTCTTTGCAGAAGGAAGTCAGAATTTCGAATGGTTGATATTTGTTCAGCTGCATACCATATCACTACTATTGTATAGTGTATTCATACCTTGTGCTAAATGTCCATATATTTGTATTAATATCTGACTGAACACAGTTAAAAAAGGAGCTATAACACATTAAGTAATTTAAATAGATTTGAAAATAATGGATTAGCAATGTTCTGGTAGCTTTAAAAATAAGTAGCTTTGATCAGGAAAAACATCCCCCAAAGAAAGAACCTGTGTGCCATGGCAGAGGCCAGGAAAGAGCTCCCTTTTGTAGAACAGAGTGACCATGCTTAGAAAATTAAACTCAGAAATAAGATCGAGTAATAGAACACATAAAAGAAAGACCACTAATGGCTATTCATTTGGGACGTGGGTGACAGCTGTATGACATGCTGCCTTTTATACTCAACAATGATCCTCCTGGGGAGCTGGTCCCTGAAGTATGGCCAGCTCAGCCACGGTGGCAGTGAAGTGGTAAAGACAGGTACTGTCCTGTCCAAGAGGATGCGTGGTGGTGAAGGAGGATAAGACATGTATAAATGGGTGGGAAGAGAGTCTAGGAGTAGAGAAATTAAGTTAGCCTCCAACGCACATGGAAATCCAGTACAATAAGGAATTGCATCCATATCTGGGCATCTAAAACTTTCCCAATGGAAAAAAAACTTATAGATCTAGAAAGCTTTCTGGTACTCAGGTGACCCTTGTGAAAAAGCAAACACACCATGATCAGTTAGCAGTTGAAAGTAAGGCTCTGCAACAGAAAATGATGTAATGCAGGACGAGAGGATAGGGTGAGAAGCTGGAGGTTTTGAAGAAACCCGATCTTCTTCAAAAGTTTGCTTAGGGCAAACCCAGGTAACAAAAACACAAGAGAGCATATGTATTTTACCGAGTTGACAGTCCTTAAACCAAACATGCCAAGTAACAGGTGATCCTGCCTTGAAAAGAGAGGACCTAGAAGGTGGTAAAGGGTCCACACATGAGGAAGACAAGGACTGTTGACAGAGCTGCAGGACTCACTTCAGATGCAGCTCAGGAAAGACGTACTGCAAACTACATGAGCTCACGTGATGTGCCCTTACGTGGAGGACAGAATCTAGCCACATGCTTTATCGGATCAGCCAGTCCTTAGGGATTTGTCAGGCGGTTGGTACAAACAACTGTCAACACTGAGATCAAATAAAGAGGTCTGAACACTCTGCCCAACCATTGTGTTCCCAGTTTAAAAGGACACAGTATTCTTTCTTTTGAAACCATAAATTTTTATCTACTCACTCATCCCAACTCAATATTCTTAATTTTCTAAGAGCACAAACACTTAAAGTCATCAGCCCCTTTACTTGGAGTTGGATGGATCCGAAGGCATAAACGATGTAGGAGCTAACAAAAGCGAGACAGTTCCTCGTCTCCCAGCGTTCAGCGGTGCTGGTGGACAGAGATCTCTGAGTGTTTGATTCAGTATGCCTTTACAGAACAGAGGAAGGACCCTCTCCTCCTGCTCTATCTCTCCTCAGTTCTTAATTCTCCAATTTTGCCACTGCTACCCCAAAATGTCAGATCATGACCGGTATAAATGCTCAATAGAACCTCAATTAAGGAAGAAAAGAGAGTAGAAAGAAAACTGGAAAATGGAGGGAGAATTGGGTTAGGATTAATAGATTGTTTTAAATTCTGTTCTAGTTCACTGGGACCCCCTATCACACACACACTAAGACCCTACTTCCTATTAATTTCCTCATTTTTTTCAGACACCATTCTATGCCATTACTGGATGGCATAGGACTGAAGATAGAGAAAGAAGCATAAATCGTGACAGCCAGAGCAGACGGGGCTCAATGTTCATAAGGGTTCCTGGGACCATCATACAGCATTTCTCACAAAAACAAGGGAGGTATGAGAGAGCTTGACTTGGCTACTGACAAACCAGAAACCTTACCATCTACACTGTCCCTTCAATTAAGAGGAGGAGCCCTTTGGACATCTATGGCCAGGGTGGAAGGAAGCTTTTTTAGGGAATGGAATGGAGCTATACCAGCCCGACATTCTTGTATGTGGCAAAATGAGTTTAAAAAGCTATATAATTTCATGTGAGTCGTAATAACTGGGCCAAAATTTATTTAAATACACTTTTCAGAACACAAATTATGTGACTGCTAACCAACGCTTGGGCTGGTGGGTTGACGCAGATCATAAGCAACGGATTTAAGGTAAACCAGAGGGTAGATGAGGGAGAAGGCAGCTGGAAAACGGTGAAAGTCAAGGATTTCACCAAGGGACCTATCACTGTAATGGCTCCTGTGACATTATCCAGTGAGTAACAAGCTGTGTTAGGCATCAGTGATTAGATATGACATCCTCCCATAGCGCGTAGTTTCAGTATACACTATCCTGTCATTGCTTATAATCACGAAGGGCATTCTACAGAGTCAGCAACAAAGGAGACAGGTAGATTATCTAATAGCCTTGTGACCACAAAATCTAAGGAGCACTCATAGCCAGTGGATGAAACACATTCAGAATGCTATTCTTACTCCTGTTCTATAACACCACATCACTTCATCAAAGTGACTATGTGTGTTTTACTGAACCACGAATCATGCGCCGACCGCCTGTTTATGCTTCAGGACGAGGTCCTGACAACTGAGCAAGGAAGCTGATTGATAAGGATGCTCCCAGAGCTTCCACTGCATTTGTAGCTTGGTTATCCAGAGATATGTTTACTCATGTGGCTTCTGAAAATTGCAACTCTTCATGGAGGATACTTTCTGCAATCATAGCAATTCATCCCTGCAAACCTCATCCACTACTAGGATTGGCTTGCCTTTTTTCTTGTGGCCATTTCTTCATTTAACACATTGCAATAACCCCTTAGAAGTGTTTATTATGTTTCTGAACTCTCATGCCTTAATTTTGTTTCACTAAAAATCAACCAATGTTTAAATTCAATATGTACATTGTTTTAATTACAGATACTTTCTGCTTTGATGGCCCTGGAAAATTATAGCATCTCCAAACCACACCTATATTTGGTGAGGGAGACTGTTGATTTCTTCAGAACAACTCTGTTTTTCCTTCCATCTTGAACATCTGCTTAGTGTTTAGTTAAATATGATGTTAGATTTCATTCCCTAGTCCACAAAGCACAGGATTTATAAGGCTCCTTTTTATATAAACCAGGGTACACTGGGGTCTAAGATATTAACAGCTCTCTCAAGAAATGACTCTCCCTGGAGAAGCTGTAAATCCCGCTTAAGACAGTTTCAGTGTCCACTCTCACACTGTCTCAGCTAGAGGCCACTTTCCAACAGCTAAAAATGTTGGGGTCATCCTTGACTTCTTTCTCTTAAACCCATATCTAATTTACTAGCACATCCTGTTGGTACTACTTAAAAATGTGTCCCAAACTGAACAACTTCTCACTTCCAAGTGAGTCCAACTACTTCTTCCTCACTTGCCCCCACCAAGGTTCAAATTCCTTCAGTGGCCACGAAGCCCTATGGGTTCTGTGGCTGCGTCGCCTGGACCTTCACGATTCTACACAGCCATCCCGGCCTCCCTTCTCTTTCTTGACTCCACCATGACTGAGCCATTTCCTTGGCCTGAAGCTCTCACCCCACCCACATAACTCACTCCCTCTTCTTGGTTCCCTCTTAACACTTGTAGAGTGAGTGCATAAAGAAGTAAACGAGAAGGTAAAAAAGCAAAGAGTTAAACACCCGATAATAACTTTCAGTTAGCAAAAAAGTCAATTTTTTATGTACAAAGATATACATTTTATGAACACATTTTAATTTGTTCCCCCCAAAATCTAAAGAAAAACAAAATATGCTAGATTTCAGTTAACACAGATGAAAGTGTCTTGAAGAATACATAGGAGAAAACAGGTGTTTAGAAACTGTTTTTTGATTTCCTCTAAGTGGTAATTCAGAGGTGCTTACCTTTGGAGCACACTCGAAATGCATCCCAGGCACGGGTAGAGTAGTGACATACATTGTAATACAGCGATATAGGTATAAAGTTCCAATGATAAAAAAGAATCTGCGCCCTACTATTGACCTAAAGGAATAACAGAGATGGGGAAAAACAAGTTTACTGGTTGTTTCTGTTCCTGATGCTCTACAAAACAGTGTTTAAAAGAGTAACAAATATTTAATACAGAATGGCATTAACAGACCACAGTTTCACAGAGTTTCAAAGCTTATTTTTGAGCTGCTCATCCCTACAATTCCACAGAGAGGCTGCAGTGCAGTTTTCAGAAACGAAGAGTCACAAACTGCAATAAGTTTAGGCGGGTCGGGCCCAAAAGGAGTGAGTCTGTGGGGAGTGGAAGAGTTAAAGTAGACGGAGGAAACCAGATAACCACCTTTCCTAAAAAAAAATCCCTCTTCACCGGAGAATTCAACGAAGCTCTCTCCATTTCAGTCAACTCACTGCATTAATAAAACCCTCTCTTGAGAATATATCAAAGGTATAAGCCATGGTCACAGAGGAATTAGCTAATGAGCTAAGGTAATGCTACATAATTGGACACATAGGGAAATGGGACAACTCATTTAACCTAAGTTATATATTAAGCAAGGTTTATTTGGGGACAATTCAAAAATATTTTAACAATTTGGACATGAACCATTTTGACTATATCTACACAATAGATTTTCAGAGAATCTGAGCACAAAGTACCTGGAGGACAGTGTTGTCCTCCGAAGGGAAGGGCTCTGCCCCTTTGTCACTGCCTCATGGGAACCTGAATGGGCATCACGGGTCCTGAGTACCCTCACTTCTGGCTGAAGGTAACAGCTCCTTTTCTACTGTGTCGTTAGGGGGTGGGTCTAGAAACTCTGGGCTCTGGGAATTGAGAGATGGGTGGGATCTATTAAGCCCCTAGAACCACCAGATGTAACTTTCCTAGTACATAAACTGTATTACTGCAGGTCTCCCATTTTCAGAGCTCTCAAACTTCAAAACTTGTACTGATCAAAGACTTCTGGAACACCAGGCAGTTTCAGGCATGTGGCATATTTTTAAAGTTTTCTATAAGACTGTGGTCTGACATGGATCACGGATCATGGTCTAATTCAGGTAGCTGTTGGGACTTCTAATTTAAAGAATCGTGTAGTTTTAGATGCCTGTTTTTAGTAGCTATTTTAAGAATATGCCAGGGTTTCTGGGTCAAAATACAGAGAAGAACATCACCTTGACTAGTTGATGAACTTATTTATTTATTGCAAAGCTTTTCATTCAAGGTTTGTTATTCTAGCTCTAACTTTTCTAGCACTGAGAAGGAACAGGTGATAAACAGTGCTGAGTTACTCTATGTGGTTAAGTGAAAAACGATTCATCCCTTTGATTCAACCCTAGGCCCCCAAAGAGTGCTGAACCATGCTCCATTCTGTTAGACAAGGTGAAGTAATAAGCAGGAATTATGAGTCAATTATATTCATAACACTATTCTGAGTTCAGCTGTACTCAGAATGGAAAATTAACTTAGAAGGTAAAGCATGTATTCTGCAGCTTTATTTAGAAAAAGAGCTACTGCCAATGATTTTTTTTCCCCATGGCTTTGAAGGTGCTTTAGCGAGGGAGGGAAGGAGAAGGAAATGGATGGAGGGAGGGGCATGTGCCTATGAGCAAGCACAGGTAAGACTTCGCATTCAGCTGAGATGTTCAAAACAGGTTATAAAAATCACTCCACTAGTTACTAAAACATAAGATCCAATTCTACCTCAAAAGCGAAAAGGAAAATGAGTGTGATTTCCTACAACAAGTTTTTGATAATGGTTTGTGACCAAAACAGTACATATTACTAAAATATGTGGCCAGTTATGTGACCTCAAGTTTTGACATCGTAAAATCTAAGGCGATAATGGAGAGGCAGTTAACAAGTCTGAAAATTCAAAGATTCAAATAAATTGAGATCGGACTTCAGGCTGAAAGCCAGCTACTTACCAAACCCTGGAAAACTTCTCTTTTTACACATATATGAATAAAACTTTGCTCTAAATTAAAAGAGAAAGCAAACATCTTTGGCCCAGGCAGTCTCTCTTGCATTCAGTGTCAATTCCAGACACACACACACACAAAAACAAAAACGCTAAAATTCAACAAATAGTTTACTAACAAAAAGCATGCCATAACTGACAATGTCAAGAGCAAAAAATTCTTCTACTAAGTAAAAGAAAACGGATAGCTATTTTACTTACACATATTAACAAAACCTATTACGAGAGACACTTTAAGGAAAATGCTCGTTTGTGGAATAAGTTTTCAAAACTGCAAACTTGCATGTGAGGAACTAGCAAAGAGAGACTGCATTCTTCTAATCTCAAAGCAACAACCAACTGAAAGAACAATATAGCATAAATTTTATCTTCTAAAAATGATCTTGCAGCATTAATATTGAAATCCTATTGAATTTTGGATTTTTGAATTATATTGACTAAGTTGGCATACATTACATTTTCAAAAGCCTCAGTTTGTGGCCAATGTTTTCACTGAATTTATATTTTAGTGATATAATTACTAGAATCTTAATAGAGAACACATATTTGAATGATGAATGAGATGAAAAGGGGAAGAGAGAAGCCTTTAATGGAATTCAAAGGAAAGCAAAATAACTGCTTTAGAGTTACGTTCTATTTTTAATTGTCTTCAAAGCAAAAGTACCTGGTTTAGTACTTCCTGATTCCTGCTATTCCAAAACAGAGAGACTGAAACCAGTGAAATGAAAGTTCCTTTGTGGTGCCACGGGGAAACCAGACAGTATGTTGACTTTAGAAATCTAAAACCACAGTGCACGGACCCATTTCTGAATTCGGTTTCTTAAACAAATACTGTGACTGGTTTGCAATAGGCAAAAGGAAAAGAAATGTAAAATTTGAGAACACCTGAATAGAAGTGAAACTCAAAGCATGCTATTGACTATAGACTATAGATGACTATAGATGACCATCGACTATAGTCATCACCTTGTGAGTAACGGAGGAAAAAAGCTCTAGCCTAACTCCTTTCCCCACCCGTTGAGAGCCTGAAATAACAAAAGCATGATGAAATGCATGTTATTCGTTACTCTTCAGGCAGCTTGATTTATCATGCAAAGAACACGGTGCCAAGTTGCTTGAAATCAGAACTGTACCTTTAATTCATAAACTCTGAATCAACCACCACGGCACTTCTGTTTTTCCCTATATAGTTGTCACTTTCATACCCAGTTGCTCCATAAATGCTTATTGAATAGTGACTGGATTTATCCAACACGGTAGATCTTTCTATTGCTTCCTTTCATCAAATGCCTGGATAAGACTGCATTTATCAGGTAAAACCAAGAAAGATAATTTCAAGTACACATCTACTCACTTAAATACAAACTAATGGCGAGCCCAAAATACATGTCAGACCTACTTACTTATATCTCAGAAACAGCCACTGGGTGATCCATAATCCAACTAATATAATCCCATTTATTTCTGATACAGAAAATGCCCATTTCACCCGATCAATGTAATCAAAAAACTTGTCTGGGAGTGGAGGGCTGAGCTCCTTGGGAGGGACCCTCTCATGTACAACTGTGATCATGACAGTTGTCAAGACGAGGTTGAAAAGAGCATACACGAAGGCAATGCCTGTTTTCCACCACTCTAGGGGAAATTTGTTCCTCGAATCAGTGGGCATAGCGATTTGGATATAGTCCGGGTACTTTTTGGTGCCCTTTCGCAACCCATTGGGTAAGCTCTTAGGTTTACTGTTGCCATTTTTGTTTTCTTCTTCAACAGGTTCGGCAGGTCTTGTGTAAGTGTTTGCAGGATCATTGGTTTGATTTTCCATATGTTCTTCAAGTTTTGCTGTCTCTACGATATCCATGGTCCCCCAGTCTTCAGATCGAAAAGGAGATGGTAAAGTTTTTTATAGAAACGTATTTGAATCCTTCTATTTCCAAGATCAGCATGGACTCTTCAACTGATTCTGTTTCCTAGTACAAAACGTAGAAGTAGCCACCTGGTTATTGTTCTTCCCATGCAGCTATCCACTGCACATTCACCAGTTTCAGGAAAACAAGCTAATTTTCTTCTCCAAAAAGATGTTACAATCCCACCTGTAAAAACAAAACTATGTTCAGAAACTGTACTCTTCCGTTGTCAACCATCCAAAGCAAAATTATTATCAAAATACGGGAACAAATACCAAAGCCATTTGCTTTATAAATATATTGTCAGAACATCATTAAAGCTGCTGAGATGGAATTTATCTAGAAAATATTGAATTGTTTTATCTTGGAATTCTTCTGTTTTTGGGCTGATGTCAGCATAAATAAGAACATTTAAATAATTAATTCCTTTTAAATTTCTTTAAACAGAAGTCAGGATCCAACATTGCAAACACTTCATCACACACTTATTACCTGTTGCTAACCATGAAGTCATAATAAGGTAGAACCCCCCCCCAGATCACATCATTCCTTCCCAAGACTGCATCTTTTCTATGAACCTTAATAAAAAAAACTGTGATACTGTGATGAGTTGATTATATGCATTGAATAATTGTTTACCCTCTGCATTTATCAAAAGTCAACTTTCTATTTTCCAATTAAAAATCTGGAATTTTTTTAAGTGACCACTTTTCAGAACATATACAAGAACTACACATTCAAGATATTTGAAATATATTTTAAATGGCACTGCCTCAGTTTATCTTTTTATATGCAGAGATGCACACCAAACACAAGGAAAGTTAACAGCCTTCAAAATAACACAAAGCCTTAAATACACAAAGCCTTAGGTATGTCTCATTTAGGTACCAAACTCTACTTGTTCCTTAAAGGATAAAATAATTTACTACAACTGACATGCTAAATCAGTAACATTCTGATGCAGCCACCACAATTTCTAGCAAACAACAGAAACTGGCACCAAGAAGACCAGCTTGGGGCACTTACCCACCACGACACCATGAGAAAAGGGTGCCTTGACCCGAAGCTCCACAGGCTCCAAAGAGCAAGGACTTCTTCACAAAACAGAGCACTGGCACCAACTCTTTTATACTAGCTAGCAACACGGCCCCAGCTGTTCTCAATTTAGGAAAGCAGTATTTTAGTCATACTACAGAACCCAGCCACCTGAAGAGGTTTTCAAACCTTGTAATTAGTCCCCAGCCTGAGTACACTGCACAATTTAAGGAAAATCTTTTACATTTTAAAGGCCTCTCCTTCATGGTAACTTCAGGAAAAAAAATAAAAATTAAAAAAAAAAAAACTCAAAGTGGTGACAGCTAAGCCTTTATTTAACGAAAGAAAAAAAACTTAAAATGACACAGTCAATACGTACAGGCAATATTTGTTGGCAGTTGTGAATGGCAAATAGAGCAAATACAAGTATTTATTGTGGACCTAAAATGTCCCAGTACTGAGGGATATGTGGTGGCAATTAAAAGCAGTTTAAAAAAAAAAAAACACAACAAAATCACACAGTCTTGAACATTCACCCAAAGAGCTCACAGTCTAATACAGAATTAAAATGACAATACTATTTGAGAAGACTGAATGGTATGTTGTAAAAGAAGGATAAGGAGGATCACTAGATAAAAACATAGCTTTACTTGTATCCTTGCTCCCCTGACAAGACGTGCCCACAGAGAGGCACTGTCCATATCTGAGGAAGAAAAGCAAGAAGAAAGTTAGCCTGGCAGAGTAACAGAAGATCACGGAAGGATGGAGACCAGAGAAGAGATATTACTAAGACTTTCAGACATCTCACTTTCTCTTGTCCCTGTGAAAAACCCCTAGCTACTAATACATTAGCGCAGAATGAGAAACGAGTAGTGTCCCTCTCTTCAAAACAGGATTGACAGATATTCTCCGCCGTGCCCCAGCACAATGCCGTGAGAAGATTAAGTATAAGGAAGAGATGCCTCAGTAGGATATAGTCAAAAACAAACCTTCAGCACCATGGATGGCTATATCTAATGGAGAGACCAAAGCACTAACTCAGCCATTGCCTCTCTTTACCAACTCTAAGCTATACCACTCACAGCGTCTTGCCAAACTATCATCCAAATTTCCTCCGACTTTACTACTCCGCATCTGCTCTGGGCCTGGCATTCGTACGTGAAAGAAGCTTGTGATATTAAAACCCAGATCCACCAGCTGACATACAGATGGTCTTTATAAGGTAGCTACCCAGTTCTAGAACACAGAACGTAGAAGAGAAGAAAATCCAATTAGTTATCTTTTTTTTTTTTTTTTTTAAAGAGGAAGTGCTCAGCCACCCACCTCATGGGACAACTGTAAGGATGACTGAAATAATTAATCATAAAGAGCTTTATGCAACTGGGAGTTAGTGCACTCTGTGAAAGCAAAGCCCATTTATCATCATTAGCAGCTAGATTGATATTTTCCATGGGATTTCATTAAGAAGATTAAATACACAAAGCACATTCAGCATGTGTCAAACAGTCCTGGGATGCA